CCCCCCCCCCCCCGGGGCTGGGCGTCCCACCCCGCCGGCGGCAGGACGCTGCTGCCGGGACGGGGGGCAGCACGGCGCCCGGTGGGGAGGAGCCGGCTTCGCAGTCTCTGGTCCGGGTTGGAGGCACTGGTGGCGGCTTCCCCCCGCGGCTGGTTGTGCCGCCCACGCGTGTTTTCGTGGCAGCGGCTCAGCTTTCCAAAGCGAAAACAAGCAGCGCGGGGGGAGCCACAAGCACAGGCAAAGGGGGCAGGGGAGTGGGCCCCGCGTGGGCTGCCCACTCGTGCTCCGGCCTCAGCCGCTCGGGCTGCCCCGGGCGGGAATCCTGGCCCCGAGTGGGAGCCCGGCCTGGGTCTGCAGGAGCCGGGGTGGGGATCACTCGTCGGGGTGTGTTTGTCTTTAAATCAAGGGATTGGGGGGGGGGGCAGGGAAGCGAGCTGAGTTTAACGCGGATGAAGCCGCGGACACATGCAAGACTCGGGGCAAAAGGGGTGGGGTACAGGCTGAGGGCACTGCACTGCACTGCACTGCACTGCACTGCACTGCACTCCGCCCTCGGGGCTCCAGAGCCCAGCGAGCACCCGGGTGGGACAGGCTGCGGCTGCGCCCTTGGCCCGGGATAGCGGGGCGCGGGGCCCGGGAAAGGCAGGGACCCGCTGTGGGTGCCATGAAATACAACAGGCGTGGCAGCGTGTGTGTGTGTGCGTGCGTGTACTTTTACAGATACACACACACAGAGCGAGCTGTGCAGACACACAGCTCTGTTCGTATGGGGATGCGGAGTTCATATTCGTATACTGCAACCCGGGGGCGTTAATGTGTACACGCCTATCATGGGTGTGTGTAATACAACATCCCTGCACGTAGGTGTGTGTGCACATACCACATATATACGTGCATGCATACACACGTATGCTATAGATCTAGATGTATGCGTCAGGTAATATTCACACCGTGTGTATGCACAAGTATATGCGTCTGTATACACACACGTTATAGCATCTCTCTGCGTATACCTGTATATTTGTGTAGGTATGCGTATATACACACACATCGTATATATAACATATCATTTCTATGTGTGTACGTGTATATACGTGTAGATATGCATATATGGTGTGTATATGTAAACCTACATATATGCGCAGAGATATAATATATATAGTGTGTGTATCTCTATATATCGTCTATGTATATATACACAGAGAAATGACGTTATAATATATATGTGATCTATCTATCATACCATTTATGTGTATATATGTGTATACATATACATATACACACATGCATCGTATATATATAGCTAGATATACACACGCCGTGTAACACAACTCTGTATATATGTGTAGATTTGCGAATACACACACGTACACCGTATGACAGATACCGGCACGCTATATGTGTGTGCATAATAACATATATATTTGTGTAGCTATACATATATACACATTTATAGCTAGCTAGCTACGAATACAGAAACACCCCATATAGATAGAGAGACTGTCTATACGTGGTGTGTTTGTATGTACGTATATATATGTAAATATAACACAGACACATCTCTCTCTCTTTATATATAATATCTATCTATCTGTATAGCGGTGTATACATAATGCACATTTATATGTATATAAATATAGATAAGATATATCCGTGTATACAGGTATGTATGTATGTATGTGGTGTGTGTGATGTACGTCCCATATATGTGCATCTCTATTCGTATGTGGGGTGTGTGTGTAGTTAGCTATATAGTGTATGCGTATATCTGACAGACGCGTTATCACGTATCTATATAGCTGCGTGATGTATGTGCATATATATCTCCACACGTAGATACACAGAGATGTTATGTTTCTATATCTGTAATACCGATATATAACGATATATATAAGTATATATGTATAGCGCGCGCGTCTCTGTCTCACGCGTGCGTGTGCATCTATCTGTACGCGGTGCGTGTGCATGCACACAGGATACCGCTCCATGAGCCATGTGTATGCCCATTCTCTGTAGACGGCGCACAGCTGCCGTGCCCGCACGGGTGCACA